TGTTATTATAAAATAATTATTTTTTTAATTTTTTATAAATTAAAAATTTGAAAACATTTTATATTTTTAACATTATTACTGTAAGAAAAGATAAAAATAAGGGATAACAATAGGTTTTTTTTTTATGCCAATAGGTGCACACTCATGAATCGACACCATTCACCACACATCACTTATAAAATTATTATTTTATGGTTTGAAATTTTTTCCAAACAGCCTAAATCAGTTACCAAACATAAAACACACTGTTATTTTTGTTTGAGAAGTGTTTGCAATAACTGCTTGAACCCACTCTTTTGGAAACTCACGCCCTTATGTAGCTTATACCTTCTTCTTACTGCACTCCCTTTCTTCTCTCACCTCTAGCCATTAAACTTCTATAGATCCTCTCTCCAATTAATTAAGATTGATACTTAAACGTCAATAAATTTACTCAATCCAAATTTAAAATAGAAGAATCTTTAAAAGCTTGCTTTGCTCAGGAGTTTTCTTTAGCAATTACCTTTTAATCTTTCATAAATTTATCCAATTTAAATTTAAAATCAACAACAATAGTACCCCATTCAGAATACTGAAAATCCCTCTCAAAAGAAAATGACTTGCCTTGTCTGCTACAAAATGAATGTAAAAGTATTTAACAAGGATGACAATAGAAAAAAATCGAGAAATATCCATACCTCTCAAGAACCACAAAACCCAACCTATTTACATCAAATGCCTTTTTTTTTTTTTATTTAAAACTTAGATCTAGATTCTCCTTGACATCTCATAAGTTCTCTTAAAGAACTTAGATTTGGGTTCTCCTTCAACAGATTAAAGAGATAGGCAAAGAAATGGTCATGGAGGAAGAAAAGAAAGCAAGGAGACAAGCAAAGTAAATGGAATTTGAGAAATTTTAACTTTGGGCATCGCATTGAATAGCATTACTATGGATAAGTGAGGGTGAGTTTTTAACAAGAAAATATTGTATTTTAATCTTTAAACCAAGGATGTGTAAGAATGGGTGCGGGTTTGGTGGGTAAAACAATCATTTCCTTTTTTTGTCTATTTAAAATAATAATAGGGTTAACGTAAAAAAAAAAATTAATACTTAACTTAAAAGTAAAAAAAATAACAATTAATTTGAGAAATTTTTAATTCAAAAATTGTTTGTTTATGAGACAAAGGAAGTATGTTTTTAATTGCATGAACAATTATAAAAGACTCCGTACTCTTTTTTATGCTCTATCCTATACTCCCTTCTTTAAACTGGAGTATACTTTGTTTATTTATTTATTAAATAAAAATATAATAATTATTTGATAAAAGTTCATATTTATTTGTAATTAATTAATACTTAAAAAAATTTATTTAATAAATATTGTATTTATTTTAAAAAATAAAAATAAAATAAAAATAAATACATTAAATAATATTATTATAATAATAAAATAGATAATTAAATTTAAATATATTAAGTTAAGAATTAAGTTTAGTAAAGTTTGAAAGGAGGGAGTTCTTAATTTAGTACAGTTTGAAAGGAGGGAGTATAAAAAGGATATTTTATTTATTTATTTATTTATTTTGGTAAAGATAAAAAGGATATTTTAACCTACACTAAATACAGTTTAATAGTTGTTTGGCCCAATCTTTATCGGCAGTAGGTGTTTGGCCCAATTTTATGAGTAAACTGGGCCCGGTACGTGCCAACTCGATGAAAATTAGCCGTTCTTTGCTACTCCGACAGAGTCGCTTCTCCGCTCCTCCATATCCCTTCCCTCGCTTTCCGACGATGCTGCCCTTCCTCTGCACCAATACGTCGTCGGAACCCATTTCTCAAAGTGCCGGCAAGCTCCTTCAGAATCACCCAACACCCAGGGACGGAGCCAATGTAGGACAAGGGGTGGGGTGGGAGGCCGGCCACCCCTAACCTTTTGAAAAACCTTTAATATAGTACTCTAATTTTCATTTGTTAAAAATTTTGTTTTTATGGTATGAATTTCAAGGACTATTTCAAATGTAGCGAAAGTATTTAGGGTCTAAATAAAAGTTTTTAAAAGACAAGGATATAATTCGCGTAAAATGAATTTATGTCAATTAATTAATTAGAAATTAAGATTCTTAAACATTTTTTCATCTATGAAGCCAAAAAAAAAAAAAACTTTGATTATCTATTTAAACTACTTTAAATTTATAGTTTTTTTTAGTATTCTTTTATTTTTTGTCTTAATATTCTATGTAAAAGTTTAAAATATTTTCCTTTTGATATGAAAATACATTTTTACTTTTTATAATTAAATTTACAATCTTTCATTTTTATTAAATCAATCTAAATTAGAGTTTATTTTCTGAAAAAAATATTTTAGTATTTTTTTTACAAAATTAGTGTTTATCAATATGATCTCCAAAAAATTAAGAGCAAAACACTTCAAAACTATAATACTTCAATAAAATTAAAACACTCTCACTCCAATTTTAAGAATATATTGTTTTTATCTTTTCAATTCAAGTTTATTAAAACAATTTAATTTTGTTGTGTTTTTCCTTATAATTTATTAAAGATTTAACTAACAAATACATTTCTTTTTTTTTTTATTTATCTTTTAGTTAATTGTTATATAATTTATTACTATAATATTTTTTTAATTAAAAAATATATTTTTTTAAAAAATTTTGTTAAAAATAATATCAATGAAAAAATTTATAAGTAAATCTTTTTATAAAATTTTTTTTTAAAAAATAAATTAGTAACAGAAAAGATACCCTTGAAAACTTAAATTTTCAATAACAAATTTCGCCCCTCCTCACGGGATTTCCTGACCCCGTCCCTGCCAACACCACTCTTCCTTCTATGCCGTTAACCTCAAAGGGCACAGAGCTCGCAAGAGCCGTGACTGCTTGTTCAAAATCAAGTCTCTTTTCTGTCTCAAGAACTGATTTCTTGTGTGAATAAGAGTGGCTCATTCCAGTGAACCATATATATATGGGTTCGCTGCTTTTGGGTCTTCAACCAGTCTTCTCTCTCGCTCTTCTCTGCTTCTTTTTGTATAAATTTCCTCTCTCGTTCTCTCAAAAACTTCATTTCTTTCCACTTACGTTACACCAACTTGAAGGCATATAGACATTCTCTACCATGGAAGGAGATACTGGGTGTAAAGAAGATGATCAAGACAGGAGGTCGATTGCGCAGTCTGGGGATGATGAAGCAGGTTGTTCTGTTACCGTTAGTGCCGCCCAAAACCCAGAAAAAGAAGATGAAGACTCACAGGTGTTGTCATTCTTCAGTTCTTTTCTTTTCCTTTTGGGTTTGTTTCTCTTAATTCTTGAGAAAGAATTGTCCGTGATTATGGTTTTTTAGTGGGAATGACTCTGCCTTTCTGCATTCTAAGTTTGTTTCTGCATTATGTGTTCGATACAATGAAAATTAGAGTTTTTAGTGGATGACTTTGCTTATCTGCGTTAGTTTGGCTATGTGTTTGATGCAAAGAAAATGCAGAAACTCAGAAAATAACTACTTATATTTTTGGAGAGAATTGTTCTTGAAAATTGGTTTCTGGCAGGCTGCGTTAGAAGTTAGGCTAAGTGTTTGATGTGAGAATTGCCAGTGTTTGTTTAGTTTCAAACAAAAGGAGAGATAAAAGAAGTACTTTATGAAGGAGAAGATGTTCTTTTCTATGGATTTTGGTATGAATATGGTGCAGATTCACGGTTTCTTTGTTCTTTGTTGTTGAACTTTTTTTATTATTTTTCCAAAGATGCAGAACATAAAAATGCCAATTTTGAACCTCAGCAGGATGATAAAGCAAGTTGTTCTGTTACTGTTAATGGCGCTAGAAACCCAGAAAATGAAGATGAAGAGGGTGATAGAGGCTCGGTTCTTCTGAAGGAACAAGTCTTTCCGGTATTTTCTTCAGCTCTTTCCGTTTCCTTTTGAATTTGTTTCTTTTAAATAGTAAGAAAGAATTGTTCTTGATAACGGGTTTTTCGTGGGACTAACTCTTTAGAAGCATTCAAAGTTGTGGCTAGCTTGATGTGAGTTTTGCGAGTGTTTGTGATGGGGAACACGAAGAAGCTATTCAATATTTATTTAGATTAATTAGAATTCTTAAGTGATTATTTTTATTCAATTGTAGTTATCATTAGTTTTCTATTAGGATTAGGTCTTTTATCAAAAGTCTTATCCTAGTTGAATGAGAAATTTTAAATTTCAAATTATAGATTAATTAGAATAGGAGTTCTAGTAGGAGTCTTAGTAGTTTCTATATAAATATGCATGTAGTTTCTTTCATTATGAAGTTAATGATATTCAGAATTTTCCAGGTAATATTTGCTCTTGATTGTGTGATGCAACTAACCTACCTAGGTGTGACTCCTAGGATTTTCTATCTTTCTCATTATTTTTTTCTGCTTCTTCCTCTTTTCTATTCTAAACAGACCCTATTTAACTGTTCATGCATACTGTTCACAGTATATATTTGCCCTAAATGGCCTCTAAATCCCCAAGCCCACCAAACCCCCTAACCTGTCCTGCATCAGTTTGTTTATATAATAAAGAAAAGGAGAAAAAGGAGCTACTTTATGGAGGAGATGATGTTCATTTTTTTGGATTTTGATATGAATATAGTGCACATTTATGGTTTCTTTCTTCCTTGTTGCAGGATTTTTATGATTCTTTTATGAAAAATAGTCTTTCTCCTACTGTTGGCTTGAAACTTGCAATAACATCCCAACTGCTAGATCAGATAAACACAGCATTATCTGTAGAACAAGAAAATTGCCACTCAGCTTCTGCAAGCGTCAATTTTGCTTCAACATCTAGAGGTAATTCTGCACCTCAGTCCCCTTTGAAAATGTTGAAGGCTGCAAACTTTCTGGCCAAGGAGCTTATAATAGGATCATGGAAGGTAAAAAAAACTTTACAAAAGAAAATAAGTTGCATTGGATTAACCATGTAAAAATGAAGGATTTCTGCATTGTATTTGGTTGAATATGTGCAGAGAATAGCTGATGTAACAACTTACTTGGTAGTAAAGATCTACTTTGCGAAAAGGAAGTTGATATGGGAGATAATGTACAATCAATTGATGAAGAAGATTGAAATTCAGTGGGCTGATATAGCTGCCATTAAAGCTTACAGTCAGGATGACGGAACTGAGGTTCTGGAAGTTGAGGTTAGATACGTTTTCTATATATACTTCTCTCTGTACTAGAAATAAGATTTTCCAATATCCCATATTAATTGGTAGTAAGTAGTTAAATCATCCAGACGAAATCATGAGCCAGGGTCCTCAGATTTTGTGCAGAACTGATAATATATATTTTTTAAATTTTTTTTGCAGTTAAGCCGACCTCCAAAATTCTTTTGTGAGGCAGAGTCAGACCCAAGATTACAATCTAAATGGAAGGCTACACAGGATTTTACTGCTGGAGAGGCCCTAAAATACAGGTTTTTCATTCTCTTGCTTTAGAATACATTTTTTTTTATATTTTTATATGTGAAATTGTCTAGTTAGGTTTTGCCTATATTCGTGTAGGTATTGGACTGTATTTGTTTATATACATTTCATTTGTGTACAAAGATTGTAGATCTAACATGTGGCATTGGTCCTTAGGAGGCATAAAGTAATATGTGCTCCTGGAGCTCATTTCAAACGCTTTACCAGGCTTCTACAATGTGACGACCGTTTGTACAATCTAAGAAGCCATGATGTTCCAAGCCTACACTCTACTTCTTTTGAGTCAGGGCACTCCGGTGATCAATTTCAAAAAATTTTCCGCTCAGATCATTCAAAAAGGCCACCAGCTATTGATTCAGAGCTTAGCATACAACAGACCACAACCCTCCCATTACAAGTATCAGGTTTTGCTAATCTATCCAAAATCCTTCGGTCTTCATTCCATTTTCTTTCTTTAAATTTTAAAAAATGTGCAGTAGTTCTTTGCTCTCTTATGTATTTCTATTGTTTGTGGATATAACCTAGAGGGGTGCATCAATGTCCAAGCAGGCGAAAATCCAACAATAGTGTACCTGGAATCAGGAATGAACAATTTCCCAGATAGTTCTCAATTTGGAAACAGTCTTGGAGACTATAATGTTCAATGTAGAAACAATAGGGCTGATAGTATTCAAGTCATGGAGAATTCTGCAAACGATGTTCAAGAGATGAACAATTTTGGAAGCAATAGTCAATTGATGAATCTACCTACTTCTTTTGGGAACAATTCGGGAGCCAATTATTCTCATCAAGGTGCTGATGAGCTGCCTAGCATTTCAGGTTATGAATACCTTGATTATCAAAGGCATTTTTCAGAATGGGAAGAGTCAATGGAACCATCTGTTAATCAATGCAGAAGGAAACCTGTAAGCCACCACTATGGCGCTGCTCTGGCTGGGGAGATCTTTAGGATCAGAAGTGACCATGTTCTTCAACGTGGTCAGAATTATGCTCACAATTTACAAGAGATGAACAATTTTGGAAACAATAGTCAAGTGATGAATCCAGCTACTTCTTTGGGAAACAATGATTTGGCAGCCAATTTTTCTCATCAAGGTGCTGAAGGGGCTACTAGCTTTTCAGGCTATGAACAAATTGATTATCAGAGGCATTCTTCAGAAAGGGTAGAGTCAATGAAGCCTTTTGTTAATCAATACAGTAGAAGGAACCCTGTGGTGGATGGTGCCTCCTCTGGGGAGATCTCTGTAATCAGAAGTAACCAAGTTCTTCAACCTGGTCAGAGTTCAAATGGTTCAGGAGGTTTACTTTACCCGCAAAATGTTGGCATACTTCATGTCATTGATCCCTCCATTCTTATGTCTGATTTCAATCCTTTTCAGAATGGAACTCCATGTAATCCATCCTCTGCTAATTTCAATCTTGGAGACAGATCAGAGAACAAAAAAGAGTAGTCACATATTGAAAGGCCTTGAACCAGGAATGAGGATGAAATTCTTTTTGTTTCATAAAAAATGAAGTAGTTTAGCCATTGCAGTTCAAGTACTGTTTTTTGATCAAATTGAATTCTAGTATCAAATTCTTTTTCCAGAAGACATGAATAGTGATATACTTCAGCCGTGAAAATGGTCTCAATTCTTGTCTTTGTTTTGTACCTACATAGATTCTTTTTTTCACAATCTTCTATCATGTTTTTTGGTTCATCCTATTACAGGTTTAATGTTCTATTGCAGGTTTGTGGTCATTTTTGTTATTTAGTGTTTTTATAGGCTAAGTGGACTATTTTAACGGGATTTTTATCTCCCAAGGGTCCTCTAAGTCATGTGGAAGAAAAAGTGAGAATAAGCGAAGAAAAATTATACACCATGTGAGGTCACTAGTGTTGGGGGGTCAATGATGAGAATTGATTTACATAATTTGAGTAGTTTGAGGGTTAATTTGTATTGTTTGAATATTTATTTACACATTTTTTAATTTAGTAGCTCATGTATTAATTTAGAGTAAGTTTAAGGATTTAAGAATACATTTTGTCATAAATATATAAATTGTCTCCATGTACCCTTATTTTAAAGTGTGTTTGATATAATTATATGAAATTATTAATTTAATTTAATTTAATTATTAAGAATTATTATTAATGATAAATTAATTGTTAATATTTATTATTAATAATAATTTGAATAATATCATTTATTAAATTAAATTAAATTACTAATAATTAATTTTAAATAACTAATTTTAAATAACTATATTAAATCACCTTTAAGGAGAAGCATTGAAAAAAAAATCATTTTTTTCTTATCCCATGCCCACAAAGGGCTAGAGGTCCTCCCCATTCAAATATCTCATCTTAAGAGCATCTCCACCAACCACATTGTTCCTATTTTTATTAATATCTCATGAATTACTCGAGTTTAAAAGGAAATCAAAATTACACTTGATTCTCCGGATCAACTGACAACCTGTCAACTTGAGGTGCATTTTCTCTTCTTCATGGGTGGGCTTCGAGTCCGTCCCTTCACAACTTGTTAAAAAGAAAAAAAAAGGAAATCAGAATTAAAAGCAACAAAGTCAAATTCTCTTCGGTTTATTATTGCCTACCGAACCCTCCCTTCCCCTATCACCCTTCTTTTCATTCTGCCCATCTTCCACCTTCACCATCGCCCCTCCACCTCTCTCTTACAACTGAAACTACCATTGTCCAGTGTACAAGCACCACAAGAGATCCCTCTCTCTGTGTATCATCTCTCTTCACCCCCGTAGAAAACCAAACAGGGCCTAAACGTTCTAGTCCTTAATTGCAAAGCTCGTGCTAATAAATAATAATTAACAATACCATATTTTTAAGCCCTCAAACTTTACACTAAATCACTCTTAAGCTCTCAACTTGTAAAATTGAGGATGCTGCCCTTTCTCTAAACCAAAGATGTCAGTCAGAGCCCATTTCTCAGGATGCAGCCAAACTCCCTCAAAATTAACCAATGCCACTCTCCCCTTCCCTGGCATCAATCCCAAAGGACATTGAGCTCGTTAAAGCCATGACCGCTTCTTCAAAATCAAGAGTCTTTTCTCTTTCAGGAAGTGATGTCTTATATGAAAACGACTGGCTCGTTGCAGTCAACAAGCCTCAGGGGATTTACTGTGACAGCGACTGAGCGAGCGTGTTGGGATTGGTTCCTCGGCTTCTCGACGACTCGGGCAAACTCGGACCAACTTGGGAAGGTTTGTTTATATGTTTTAAGATTTCAATATGGATTTCATTTTGTGGGTTTTGGTGCATGTTGTAATTTTTGGTTCTGCTTATCATTTGAAGCTTTGATTTTTTAATTTTTTTTTAACCAACATGAAAGGAAAAATTAACGTTAGAATAGAAAAAGAACTAGTTGGTATCCGTTAGCTTTTAGTTACTTTGTAGCTTAGTTTATTTTAGCTGCTAGCTTTACTTTCCAGAGAATGGAAATAAAGGGCCATATAAATGTTTGAAGTGGAGGCTTTTACTTTTGCAGAGGCTTTAATCAAGATTGCCATCTGAAAAGCTTGAACTTGTTAGTTGGCAGCTAGTATGGTTACTTATAAATTTAAGAGATCATTATTGTGTTATATGAATAAATCTTGCAATGTGAAGTATATGGGTGGTTGATTTTGTTGGTAGTGAAGGACCTGTTTAGTGGTACTAAATACCAGGTTGAGTCAATGATTTTCTTCTCATCATCTAGCAAAGGTCCTGATTTCCAGACTAAAATCAATTTGGCCTAGCGGTTAATGCTTAATGGTTGGTTAGGTCTTTATATCTTTTACATAACATGTGATGAGAATAATGGGTTATTTTTTTTATCAAAAATGAGATTTTTATTCATCATGTGGAGGAAGGACTATCATAAACTTTCTTTTATTCATGATGGTTCATTGATTCTGTATCAAGTTTCTTAAAGTCTGTATTTTCATTTGATAAATTAAAATTACAAAAAGCTGTCTTTTTGATCTTGCTGAGTACTTCTTTTTTCCTTTAAGTATTCAGACATTTTTCAAATTCCAGCTCCAGGGGCTGAAGTCAGTCAATCCTGGAGCTCCATCTTCCTAAGAGACTTGATCATGATACAAGAGTTCTGATGATTATAACCAAGTCACACAAAGCAGCTTCTAAGCTTTTGAAGGCCTTTACTGTTCACAGTGTTTGTAAATCATATGTTGCTTCTTGCCTTGGTGAAGCTCCAAAATGGGGGGGAAAAAATCACTTTGAGTCAGGTCATGGTCAATCAACATATGGAGCTTGGCATCACTGATGCAAAGAAAGATGAGATTTTGGTCAGAGCATTCCTAGAAGTGGAAGGATGCATCAAATATGTTTGCATTGCCAATATCTGAGAATCTCTATTGGAGAGGATGTGAAATATGAGGGTGTATATGAGTGGAAAGAGAGAACTTATAATGCCCATGATCTTCATGCAGAGAGCCTGTCTTTTGAGCATCACATTACTGACTTTCAATCATGATCAAGGCACCACTGCCTCCCTGTGCCAGCCAGGGATTGCAGCCCATAACTAAGTAAAATAGCCATCTATATGCACATTCTGGACATATTAAGGAAGGGAAACAGAACCAAGAGGAAATATCAAGATATAGAAATGTTTAGAAAAAGGAAGCATATGCTTACCAGAAAAGAAAAAAAAAAGAAAGAAAGAAAGAAAGAAAAAGAGAAAAGAAGCACCTAAATTTGCAAGAAGATTCAGTTGATTAGGCCAAAAGGTATGGCCTTTTCTCAATGATCTTGAAAATATCTGGTTAGAGAAAATTTTCTTTGTCTCATTGGTTTCAGAAGTCAGATTTCATTCATTTCTTGTCCAAGGTCTTAAACTGTATAGTTATTTGTCAGAGATTAAGATTTCAAAGAAATAGTTAGAAGTGAACATTTTATGTCAAAGCATGGTAATTCACCTGCAGGGTTTTATATCTAAAGGACTTCTGTTGCAGTTAAAGCTTGGTAAAGAAGGTGGCTAGTTCTGACTTGAAAAGGATGAAGACGGTAGCCAATGAGGTTGTCACCTGTCTGAACATTATCAGCAGCTTCAACAACTACCAACATGCTGCTGCTTATTCTTCATTTGAATCAAATGAGATTTTTCTAATCCAAAACTTTATGAAAAAACGGAATGGATATGTCTTTTTTCATGAAGTCTTGGGTCAGAGAAATCTCAAGACTGAGTTCTGTATCCGGGCATTATGAGAGTTAATGCAGGAGGCTATAAGAGGGAATTCTGCCCAGAGCACAGCTGATAGACAGAAAATGATGCCAAATCCTTTATAGCAGTCTGTTTTTCTTCCCCAGGTGGTGGTGGGGCAGCCTGAACAGCAACAGCAACAGCCACAGATTTGGGGTACCCCAGAACCTCGTATGGTGCTTCCTGGGGCCCCCAGAAAACATGACAGTGTTTGTGACCTTCTCCAAGGAGTACCCTGCAGCTGCATCAGAAGCTATGGAATTTTTCACCAGGAGCCATGGGGATTGAATTGAGTCCTTCCATATGCAGGAAGTGCAGCAGCCAGAGGACCAGCCTCACTTGTCTAAGATTGTCTTCAAATCTGCAGCTACCATTGATAGGGTCATCAATGGACTGCGCAAAATCAAGTTTGCTATTAGTGGAAGGCTGCAGTTGATTTTACTGGTGGATTGGCCCTAACTTGCTGGTTTTTCTGTCTCTTGCTTTAGAATCATTTTTTATTTTTACACATGAAATTTTTTTAGTTATATTATGCCTGTATGTTATGTCCTCCTGGAGCTCTTTTCAAAGACCTTGATAGGCTTCTAAAATGTGACACCTGCTTGAAGGAACTGAGAAGGCATCCCTTTAAGAGACAAGACTATCCCTTTTTCCAAGACTGAGGTTCCGTATCAATACAGAGCAAACCCTGTATTCCACCACTATGGTGGTGCCCCCTTTGGGGAAAGCTCTGGGGTCAGAAATGACCAAGTTCTGCAACCTGGACAGAATTATGCTGACGATTTACAAGAGATGAACAATTTTGGAGACAACAGTCAAATGATGAATCAAGATCATTTTTTGGGGAATGATGATTTGGCTGCCAATTATTCTCATCAAAGGTGGTGAAGGGCCTAGCGTTTCAGGCTATGGATACCATGATTATCAGAGCATTCCTCAGAGTCAGAATGGGTAGAGTCAATGGAGTCATTTGTTAATCAATACAATAGAGGGAACCCTCTCATCCACCTCATTAGTGGTGCTTCCTATGCGGAGATCTCTGGGATCTCTTCAACCTGGTCAGAGTTCAAATGGTTCAGGAGGTTTACTTTACCGGCACAATGTGGGCATACCTCAGGTCATTGATCCTAGCAGGCTTATGTCTGATTTCAATGCTGACCAGAAAAAAATTCCATATTATCCATTGCTTACCAATCCAGGTACAAGTGATCCTGCGTCTGCTAATATCAATCTTGGAGACAGATCAGAGAATGAAAAAGAGTAGCCAGATGCCGAAAGAACTTGAGCCAGGAATGAGGATGAAACTCTTCTTGTTTCATTAAAGATGAAGTAGTTTAGCTATTGCAATTCAATTTTAGTTTTTTGATCAAATTGTATTCTGGTTTCAAATCTCTTTACTCAGGAGACATGAATACCGAGATACTTAGCCATGAAAATCTCAATTCTTATCATTGGTTTGTACGTACAGATGTTCTTTAGTCCCAATTTTCTATAATGGCTCTTTGTTCATGCTATTCCTGGTTTGCATTCTATATGAAGTTAAATTTATTTTCCCTCTTTCTTCTGTTTCTTTATATCAGGTTTTTTTCCCGTCTCTACTAATTAGTTTCGCCAATATTTCTCAATTTTCTTGTTAACAGAAGGAGAAAATTTTTATTGAAATGAAGTACAAGCAGTGCTGAATGGACGCATCGCATAAGAAATTTGGCAACTCGAAAAGCGAAAGGATAAAAAAATTCAAATATTAGGTTGCTTGGTTAAGTTTAAAAAAGGAATTTTTATTTTTTTATAAATATAAAATTTTATTAGATGAAAATTTAAAAATTAATTTTAAAATTAATTTTAAAATTTTTCTTTAATAAAATTTTAAATTTATAAAAATAAAATTTATTTTTAAAATAAGTTATCTTTTAAACTTTGCAAAATACCCATATCTTTGGCTTATTGCCCATTGAAAAATTCCCATCGGCTACTATCACTACCTCTAACCAATTCTTACCGTCTAAAAAAAAAAATTCCCCTCGGCAGCATCCCTGCTTCCTGGGGTATCACACACATATGGCACCCACTTGTCCAAGGTGCTGCGTTGCCCTCGAAATTAAACTCCCTTCACTGCTTCACACCTTATCTATTATAGAAGCATGTCATTTTTTGCTTTTATACTATTTTTTTATATAATTTTTATAAGTCATTAAATGAAGAAATATATTTAATATTACGAGTGTTAAATAAAAAAATAATAATTTTGAGATAACTTTTTTTATTATTTTTTTATACAACTTGATGTATTATTTAAATAATTAATTTTTTTTATTCATATGAGACTTGAAATATTGAATGCATTTACTTATTTAATAATATATAAAAATTATATTTAAAAATAATATAAAAAAATTATTTTTATAATACTATTCTAAAAAAAATATTATTTAAATGATACATAAAATTATATGAAAAAATTATTTATAAATCATTTTTTCTTTACATAAAAAGCTTTAGAAATTGCTGCTTATAATTTTCTTATAATTGTTTTTCATATGTTGCGTAGTATACCCTTTGATATTTAAATTAAGTATTTTAGGATTTATTTGTTAAATATCCTTGTTATTATAAGTCTAGGGCTATTGTTTTGATTAATTAGCTTTTGTTAGATTTGTTATATGTTTCTGCAGAGTGCATTCTTCATCCTCTTGATCCTCGACATCTTCAACCATCGATATGGCCTACCCTCTACTTCGCTAACCCCCTCATGGTTCTCTCCCCTTCTAGTTTTCTCCTCCACCCGCTTTAGTTCCGGTCTTTTGCTTAAGGTGAATCTCTTATTGGTTAGGTCAACTTTTTCTCAGGCGTCATTCTAAATCCTAGCAATAGGATTCCAGTGGGCATTTAGTTCCTTCTTACCACGTACAATAAGACAAGGGGCGGTAGTCAGCGGTGGCTAAAGAGCTTGGATTTGTCATAGGTATAATTTTTAATCTTAGACATAAAATTCTAGCTTGTGTCAAGTCCTGCAATTTTCATAGCCTAGCACAAATGACTCCCTATACTTAAATTATTTAAATTCACTGTGGATATATAGTTTGAAGACCGTTCGTAGTAGTATAGTTTATATTTCAATTTTATGCTAAACATTGCTATTATGATTATGATGTAATCTGATTTTACTTTTCAATTAAATCTTTGTTCTTAAAAAAATAAATGGATCCTCTCGAAGTTGGAGAATAAAGAAGGATAACTGTTTTTTGTTGATAAAAAGTGAAAAATATTTTTTACAATCAAAACACACACTTAAACATCATGCATACACTTTATCCCTTAACCAACAAGAATTCAGTCAAATTGATACACACTAACTTAAAAATCTTAATATTAAATCAAACTCAAATGTTCTAATCTCAATGTTGTTAAATGACTAACACTAGTGTACCAAAAAAAAAAAAAAAAAAAAAACACAGTTATCCCTTAAGCTACATTATTGTTGGCTACATACAAAACTTTAGTATTTTTTTTTTTTTTTTTTTTTGGTATATACAAAACAGTAGTATGCAATATTTTAGACCGTAGTTTTTCTAGTGGAAGCTTATTCTATTGATCATAATTTAACAGGCGGGGTGTGGTTGAGAATCACACTGGCTCAAATGCTGTTGCCGGGTTATTCTTTATATTCTTTATAAAGTTAGCTACATGCCCTGCGACACATAATGAGCCAGCCTCAGTACAACTGAAGGCATGACGATGACCCTCACGATCAATTGATATGGAAGAGCCTTGGACCTGCTGACGAATCTGCAAGCATAAAAGATATGTTAGACGTAAGACAAGGGCAAAAAATTTTAAGGAAAATGTAGAAAATGTTGGAGCAAATGCTGTTAGACAAGGCAAATTAAAATAAACATTGTGATAATTTTCCATTTAGAGATTGAAGCAAAATGAATTCTTTATATGCCCGCACCTCTTCAAACTCCAGACCGAAGAAAAGAACTACCGTATTGCTGCTTTATAAACTTATGAAAGAAAAAGAAAAATGAAAAGAATCCTAACATATCAGACATGATTATCCATCTAAAAAACATTGTCTTCTATTCCTAAGAGCAAAATTGATGCACTCCGTCCTTCTTTGGCTATATTTTAAATTAGAGTACTTACCTAGTGAGGAATTAATAGAATAATTTAAAAGTTAAAAGATTGCATGTCAAACTCAAACTCTGAGTCAGTGGGCTGCTATTTTCAAAGCTACGAGCTTGAGATTAATACATTGGCACTGGTAGATTCCACCAACAAAACCAGCTCATGGTTTTGGTTGGATTAAAAAACCCATTTAAATGTCATTTCCCCATTCTGACTCAATTTCTTCTCTTGAGCCAAAAGAAGCTGTACAGCATCAACCATTCTCATTTCCCTCAATTTATTCAACAGAAGGAAAGGAAACATGGTTATTTAGCAAAGCAGCAAAACTGGAAAGCTTGCAGAAATTTTGCAAGTCTAAAATTGATGGATGTGTGTAAGCCGAGAGAGAGAAGGGATATAGCAAAGGGAGCTGATGATCAACAGTGAAGAAATGGGAAGAATCAAAGGAAATTACGCTGAGAAAGTAATGGGCTTATGAGGTAAGTATGGGTTATCGCTTTTGTAGCTATAATTGGATCTAAGATGGTAATTGCTTGCTTTAAAATGGATCTAAATCTAAGCTAATGTTATTAGAAAGGTCAGTAAAAATCATGCAAGTGTAAGTCATGTATTGGGACTAACTAAAAATCATGTCTGAGCACCTTTTTGGCCTGTTGTATTGTTAATAAGCTTCGATGCATTAAAATCTGCTGATGGCAGAGTAAGACAATATATGTACATATTTATAGAAACTAATTGGTTAAATTGTTTTATGTTGTAAATTAGAACATGCTTGATGATTAGAAATGAACTAAGTCCTAACTAGATCTGTTATCTTAAGTTCAAACCTATTCTATTACCCAAGTCAGTATCTTGGTATGTTTGAACATGCTGTGAGGTTCTGATTTATTTGTTGAAGTAGCAGCTTATGTTACTTGTCCTTGCGCACAATTAATTAAAAGTTAGGTACCCTAGTAGTGCTGTTACTTTGAGCAAGTGTCTAGTTGACTTGTTACCTAGTAAGATTTTGAAAGAATGAAACTGTGTTAGTTATACAGTTTCGTTGTTTTGCTTATGTATATGTTTTATGAAAGCTGAGTATGAAAGACTTTGATTTATGTATCAACAGATTTCAAAGCATCATATTACATGCTTCATAGAATATATGGTATGATATCTAAGCTGCTAATGGCTAGGTAGTATACTCCCACAGGGTGTTTGGTATACTTTGCCATAAAACATTCCACTTCAAGATTTTTTAGGGTGTTCTGGTACTTACACATCTCAAAACTATACTAAATAAAGGGTATATGTGGCATTTTTGGCCTTTATTTTCCCTAACATAATTAACAACCTGTAAACTTTTCTTCATATCTTTTTTAAAGGGTAAAAATTTCCCACAACTTGCTCTATGTGGGACTCACTTAACAACTTTTCCAATGTCAATTTCTTACCAAACAAAAAAAAGGTTAACAATCCAACAAAATTTCATCAAAACTTCATTACAAAACTTACCAACTATCCATATGGTACTTTCCCAACCTCTTTCCTAGTAAAGTTGGCCTTTAACTAAACAAACCCCTGGAGTAAAGAATTATGCTCCTAGACGACTGAAGTAAACAAAAAAAGAAATCTAAAGATACTTAAGGATAAGCTAGGTACGAGCTTCTAAAGGTGTCTGAGGCTGCTCCCAAAGTTAATTGGGGCTGAATTTTGTCGTTAGACATCTGTGCAGAAGGAAGAACCATGGTTGGACCATTGGTATGGTGGGATATACACCCAAAGGAAAAATCCATAGGTAGAAATGCATTCGTTTGAACATTTAGACATGCATAAAGTTGTGCTGCTACTTTAAATGTGTTAAAAGTTTGTGATTCAAAATGTATAAAAAATGATTCAAGTGTTCTAAGAGACAGAACGACCTTAATGGAATTGGTGTCATATGATCTTAGTAAATTTATGCCCAGGCTAACCTTATCTTATATGCTATTTGATGATTAAGTTCTGGTTATAAGCTTATTTACAAGTTAATTGCTTATTTTATGTTAATTTGATTAAATTTTCAATTATGGCTCTTAAGTTATAACCTATGCAGCTATGCTTATTGGGCTTTACAACTCATGGTGTATCCTTTACCCTGTTTCAGGTTACCTTAAGAAGTATAAGTGGCCTGAAGTCCGAGAGTGTCTTGTGGATGATGAGTGGATCAAGCTTTTTCAAGCTTGTGAGGTAAAATTGTTTCTGCCCAAAACTTTGTTCTAGCTCAAGATTTTCTATAAATCTCTTCCTGATGATCTATAAATGATTTATAGCTATTCATTCCTAGTTGAAGTTTTTGTTTTGTATGGCATGAACTTGAGTTTCTGACTGTTTGTCTAACCGTAAGTTGTCATGAAACTTATTTCTTACAAACTAGTAAGTCCTATTCAGAAGTTTTAAACATAGCTTCATCTGCACTGGTTTCCAATGTTTTCTGGAAAGGACTTAAGTTGATGTTACTTCAAAGATATATATGTACATAACTATTAAATTGAAATTTTGGTTTTGAAGGTTATAGCGCAAACCTGATCCTGGGGTTGGGATCTAACAAAATGGTAGCCAAGCCACAGTTTTGCAAAGATACAAGTTTACAAACTCTGTATTGGGTCCCCTCGTCATAAGATGTATGTGACTAATGTTTGAGTATTTCCTTTTTCTAGAAATAGGAAAGATGATTGATCAAGAGTGTAGCTAATAGCCTATTTGGCTTGAGGGAAACAGAGGGAAGGGGAGGGGAGGGGAGCTGGCCTTATTTCAACCAATCAAATTAAGTAGTTGGGCTAATGAAATAATTTGATTGGTTATAATGATTTTCCTTCCCCTCCCATAGCATTCCCTCCACTCAAACCAAACAAGCTGAAAGAAAACACTAAACTACCATGGATCCTATTACTGGAGATACAAGGAGAGGTACATCTCTTAAGTGACAGTAAATGGAAATTACAGAGGTTTGTTTAGGGTTAATGTAGGTTGATTTTTAGATGAGTCTAAATATGATAATCTGATGTGTAGGTGTACACTAATTGTTGTCATATCTATTCAGATGTCACGAGAAAGATTTAATGAATGGAATTTGTTGGTGGAGCAGCATGCAAAAGTAAGCCCTTCTATTTAGCTATGGATAGGATTAATGAGTAGGTTGAAGTGCATGTAAAACTAGAATGGGATTTAGTATCTGATTATGAGAGAGGTGTTAGAAGAGTTTCACAGTTTATGCCGAATGTCTTTTAGAGGCAGTGAATCTATTTGTAATGCTGATGCAGCACATACACAAAAAAAAAAAAAGTGAGGGATTTATTTCCTGGTGGAATATAGGTTTGAATTATAGCTGCTTAGTTAAATTGGTTTGAGTTATACAGATTCAGGATGGTAAGAATAAGTGCACAGAAGTATGTTTGAAGGCAGTAGAAATTATACATTGTGTATGAGGAGTAGGAGGAACAGTAAGTTCAATGCCTAAAGCTTAACGTGTAAGTGTTAACCATGTGGTTCTGGTTATGGCCACCAGTGAAATTGTTAAGGCCACCAATATTCTACTTTTGTTTTGTTAAATTACATTTTTGACCGACGCAATACATATCTTTCCAACTTTACCCTCATCACTTGTGTCTTTTCTTGAGTGGGTAAATAAGTAATTTAACAAAACAAAAAGTAGAACTTTGGTGGCCTTAACAATATCCCTGGTGGCCATCACCGGGCCTAACCATGTTTACAATAAACTAGAAAGAGCACTTGGCGTGTGAAGCAAGATTGTGCAAAACGGTTAAAGTTAATGTTTGTATTGTTCCCTGTATAATTGGTTGTGCTAACTCCATTATGATATCTCTGGCCTTATTGACATGTTAAGTGTATTGTTAAACAGTAATACTTGACCTGATTTTAGTAATGACAGTTTAATTATGCTTAAGCTAGATGTTTGCCCAAGTGATGTATGAGCCATTGATAGTTCTACTTCCTTTATTCATAGTCATTTAATTTTGGATATGGATTATGCATGGAAGGTTAGAAAACTAAACATGTCATACATGCTTAAGTAAGTATAAACTTAGAACTATCATGCGTTAATTATGATAGTTCTACTTCCTTTTACCAGCCTACATATTCTAATGACAGGTCTCACCTAACCAGTTCCTTCTTCACACTGATCAAAAACTCTTCCAATACTAAGCATTTCGTAATGAAGTTTTGATAAAATTTTGTTGAGATGTTAACTTTTTTGTTTTAGGTAAGAAATTGACATAGGGATGGTTGTTAAGTAGGTCTCACATAGAGAAAGTTACGGGAAACATTTTCCCTTCAAAAAAGGTGGAAAGAAAAGTTTAGAGGTTGGAAATTGCATTAGGGAAAGTAAAGGCTAAAAATGTCAATTTTACCCTTCATATGGTATAGTTTTGAGGTGTAAAACTTTTCCAATGGCCTTTAACCAACCAAGCCCCTAAAGTTACCTGGAGCAAAGAATGATGCTAAAAAAGGACCTAAAGTAAAGAAATAAATAAATCAAAAAATACCTATGCTGTTAAGTTAGGTAAGAGCACCTAAAGGTGTCTGGGACTGCTCCTAGAGTGGGGCTAAATTGTGTTGTTAGACCTCTGCGCAATAGGAAAAACCATGGTTGGACCATTGGTATGGTGGGATGTACACGCACTGGAAAAATCCATAGATAGAACTGCATTTGTTTGAACATTTAGATGTGCATAAAGTTATCTTGCTAGTATAAATGTGCTAAAAGCCTATGATTAAAAAAGGATAGAACATTATTCGAGTGTTCTAAGTGATAGAACAGCCATGATGGAATTGGTGTCATATGACTTTAGTAAATTTATGCCTAGGCTAAGCTTATCTAGTCTGCTATTTGATGATCAAATTCTGGTTGTAAACTTATTTACAAGTTAATTGCTTATTTTCTGTTAATTTGATTAAGTTTTCTATTATGGCTCTTAAGTTATAAACTATGTTTATCGGGCTTTATAGCTCTTGGTGCATTGTTTACTCTTGTTTCAGGTTAGCTTAAAAAGTATAAGTGGCCTGAAGTTGAAGAGTGTCTCATGGATGAGAGTTGATCAAGCTTTTTCAAGCTTGTGAGGTAAACTTGAATCTACCAAAAACTTTGTTGTGGCTCATGATTTTCTATAAATCCATTTCTAGCAATCTGTAGACGAGTTATAGCTTTTCATTCCTAGTTGAAATCTTTGTTTTGTATTGCATGAATTTGAGTTTCTGACTGCTTGTTTAACTGTAAGTTGTGTTGAAACTTATTTCTTACAAACTAGTATGTCTTTGGCATAAGTTTTAAATATAGCTTCATCTACACCAGTTTCAAATGTTTTCTAAGGGGGATTTAAGGCCATGTTTCTTCAAAGATATATGTGCATGACTAACAAATTATAAATTTGGTTTGGAGGTTATAACTCAAACCTAGTTTTCTGGGTTTGGGATGTGACAAAAACACTCACTTCTGTGGTGCAGTAATGCCTAGAATATAGATGCCAATATATAGTAGGGGCATTTGAGTATTTTTATTCAAGATGATATGAAGAATTAATATAGAAAGGAATAAAATGCAACACAAATTTTCACACATTATTCAGCTGAAATATTGAATATCCATAACCAGTTCACGCATGCATGGACAAAATATATCTGAAGCTTTTAATTAAAGTGATAAAACTAATTATAAATAAAAGAAAAAAGACAATCACTTTTACCTCCGTGGACAGTTCTAGTGGGCCCCAGTGATCGTCAATGCCAAACAAAAATGCAATTTTATTCTGGTTTGCTCTCATAAATTCCCAGTCCAGAGGTCCAGCAACCTAATGCAAAATGGTATGGTCAGCACAAAATTTTAGCTTTACTTGCTCCAAAGTAACACCACCATTTAGAATTTGAAGGATAAAATAATAAACACATGGATGTAAATTGAACCAAACACACAACCAAGTGCAACTGCTTTTGATGATAATATTCCTAACAACAAAAATGTTAGAAATACCTAGACATTTGCAGAAACTTCATTGATATTGGATTTGATTAGGTATTTATTAATTATAAATTTTTATATTAGTAATTAACTAAAAATATGTTAGTTTTTCTTTTTGATAATTAATAATTTTAAATATAATAATTCATTAAAAAAAAAGAGTTTTGATGGTAGATATGAAAGAAAATTTAAGTGTACAAATTTAATCTTTTTAATTTTGAAAATAAATAAGGACAAGTCTTCATAAAAAGAAATCTAAAAAATTTAGACCTTGAATACATTCTGTTATTTTTTGACAAGTATTTATCTGTGTCTGCCACACCCCAATTCTATAAATAGAGGTTGAATTAATTTTTTGATCTATGGGTCCCCTTATATTAGATTTGAACTATTCTTTTATGGGTATTTTTTTAAAAAAAGCCTAGTAAGTATTTATTGAGGTTTTTTTCTTAAAGCCTATTGGGTATTTATTGAGGATTTTCTTTAAGGAAAAATGATCCAGAGACAACTTTTTTTGTGTAACTTTTTCATATGACCTTACATGTGATTTAATGATTAACTTTTTTTTTTGCACAGCAAAAGTGATTTTTATTAAATGGAGTACAAGGTGTACTCCTGCCCTTAGCACAATTCGATACCATATGCATCCACTAATGATTAACTTTTTTCACTCTACTTGTGATATTATATGCATCTACTAATTTAATGACAAGTAAGAGTTATACAAAAAAGTTGTACAAAAAGGTTGTTCCCATATCATTACCCTTTTCAAAGTCTATTGAGTATTTATTTGAGAACTGTGGAGAGAATTTTATTGTTACAATAATTCAATATGTAGTTATATTATTATAGGGTGGTGTTATTGTTGCAGCCTTAATTGCTAATCCCACATCTTTTTATATTAACTAACCACCATACCCCTTAATTCATTTTAGATTTAGTTTACATTTTAATTTTCTAAAATTAAAGTGAATTAAAATTAAAGGTATAATAATCAGTTAAGCTAAAAAGGTGTGTAGCATTAACCATTGAAGGTGTGACAATATCCCCACCTATTATTATATTGAGAATAATATATATCAATCTCGACTTCATTAAAAAATTAGAGTTTCAACTTTAAAAACTATACATTCTAATAAATATTTCCAAAAGTTTTCTATTGGATTTAAAGGTCTATTAAGATAGATCATGCATGTCAATTTTCAGATTGATTAAATATATCTAATTAGTTAATTGATTATATAAAATTTAAAACCATTAAATATATGTTAGAAAATACAAGTTTCTTGATTGAATGGTTATAGATGTTAGATTAGATGAACTTGAAAACTGACACATGATCTCTATCATTAGAATATTAAATCCAACGGTTGGTTTAGAAAATATTTATCAGAAACTAGTGTCTTTGAAATTAGAACTCCAATTTTTAATAGGAGTCAGAACTGATATATACTATTCTCTATTATATTATATTATTATTAAAGTTAAGATAAGATTTACCTAAGTCCATAATGCTCAAAGGACTGAATCAAATATCAAACAAAAATATTAGAATCAACTTCATAAAGAACGCAATAAACTTCAGCACCTTTTTAGCTGTAACTATCCTATGGGAACAACATTATACCTCTCTGAATATTGTCATTGCCATATAGAGCACATTCCGCATAGTATGATACTGCAAAGAAATAAAATATGAGTTACTTGTAAATTTTACAAGCAAGATTTTATTTCAGTACAACTTAACCGTGAAGAAATTGGACTACTTACACCAGAGTGGAGTTAGAAAGGTAAAATATATTTTCAACCTAAGAAGCCTTTTTATCTTAAAAAGGTGATAAGACTTTTACCTGTGTCAAATAAGAGCAAGCAGCCTCACGTGCAGTATTAGAGCTAGATCTTCCAAGATAACATTTCGCAATAAACCGCAAAATCCCTCTAGGGAGGCAACCCAATGATGCAAAAGAGGAACTAATTATACTGGAGAGCACTTCATTCCTGAAACCCAAATATTCATAAAATCAACTCAAAAGCCTTTCAACAGAGCAAACTGAAAAAGGTGCAAGAGTAGGGTATTTTGAAGCAATCTGTCTAATTATACATCAGCTTAACTAGGTCAGCTTATTCTCTAAACATAATGAGATGGATATCCTTGCTACAAGTCTACAGTTAATGAACCATGGTACTCCATAGAACAAGAGAAGCCAAGCACAGGCTGTGCAACATGTGATTTGAAACTACTGCAAAGGAAAGTAATTTAAAAATACTGGGTATTCCTCCGCAATGCATTATAAAATTTCTAATGCTACTGAATATTATGAAGTACAAAAGCTGCCACCAAATGTTAATAGCAATAGTAAAGAGAAGGGAAGTAATGCTACTCATGATAAGAGAAAGCATTACCGTGCAATTGTCCCAAATATGGTCTGCTCCTTTGATTGTGGATTTAATGCTAAAAATGGATACAGTCCAATACAATAAGCATACTGAAACCACCAAATAGAAAATAGAAAAAAAAAAAAAAATTCATTAAGCATCTTTTCTTGAAAGTAGAAGCAGATTTCAAGATGCATACTGAAACCACCAAATCAGTATAAAGGAGTAAAACCTTCTCCGGAGACCTCCTCAACATCTGAAGAGCTATATATGAACCAGTGGAGTGCCCTACCTGACATGATCAAATTGCATACTAGTTGTTGGAACATCATCCAAAATTCTTAAATCCTCATTAAAAGAAAAAAACCCTTAAATCAATATAGAAGAAGAATCAAGTTTCTTATTTTTAAAGACATCTTCAGCTACAATCCTTAAGCTTAGCACTCATATGCAGAAGAAATGTGCCTGCTACTTCAATACCAAGCATGAACCTAGTTAAGCACTGGATTTCTATGCTCCTCTTTTCCAGACAAGCACCTCAAGAGGTTGGCTCAAAGGGACAAAATAAAACACACTGAAAGCAGAAAATAATCCTACCAGTATTAGTGGAATTTCAGTAGTTTGCAATTCCTGTTCGATGAAATGCACCTGTAAATTGCAAAGCAATGGAGATTATTATCATCTTCTCCAGTAAGCAGGATAATTATAATGGTAACAGCAATAGATTTGAAGAAAGGGGGAACATGTTAACAAGAAAAAATAGACTACTGGGAAAATGATTATATAAGATATCTATTGTTAATATCTAATCATCTGTTAGGCAAACAACTCATTTATATTACTAGAAAAACTTGGGTTAATCCATTGCCTCAGGAAATTCTATTTTTGGGTTGTCTCCTATCAAGAAACTCAAAATTCAAAAGATAAAAATTAAAAATAAAAATCTATATATTATTCTACAATTTTGTCAATTTTGACTGCGTCAAATAGTTTGAAATAGTTGGAACATGTGCGAAAAATAGGAAAATAAAGGAATTTATATACGTCTACCTATTACTCACTAATATTAAGTGAAGTTGAACCCATGGTCTGTGGGTTTTGGCTTTTTGTTTTTTGCCCATTTATATTCTAAATTTTATTTAGAATGGGCACTTTGGGGCCTTTAACCTGTTAGAAAATATTTAATTTTTTGTTTTTAGATTTTTAATTTAATTTTTGAAAATAAGAATTATGTTTTTTTTTTCTTCTTTGTAAGCAGCTCTATAAACATAATGACACTTCCCAGCTAACAATTTGTTCATCAGAAAATCAAGAAAGAAGTCCAAAGGTTACCTTATGATCAATTTGGTCTTGCAATGAGAACAAGCTTCCAGGCTCCCAGTTCTAACAATAAAAGAGTGAAGAGGAAAAATAGATTAAAGACATAATTATAGAGATACATATTACAAAGAAACATAAAATGTTTAAAGAAATTATATGATGCACTAATGTTAATGGAATGAATAAGTGCAAAGGAATTACATGTTGCATAAAATAGTTCAATAAAATACCACCAAGCATGTATAACTGCCATTTTGTAAAACACAATATAAAGAATAACACAGGTACCTTTTTGGTGTGACTAATGTGCCCAATAGCTGTAAATTAGCATAGAAATGCAACCGTTAGTGAAGAGAATATGGCTCTAATATATGTATACACACACATACATAGATAGAACCATGCATATCAGTTCTAACTCCTATTAAAAAATTAGAGTTTCAATTTTTGCCACACTTTAATGAATATTTTTAAAAATCAGCGATGGATTTAATATTTTGTTGATATAGATCATGCATATTAATTTTTAGATTGATTGAATATATCTAACGAATTTATTGATTATACAAAAATTAAAACCATTAAATATATGTTCGAAAATATAAGTTTGTTGATTTAATAAATCATCTGATCCAACAATTAGTATTTCAAAACATTCATTAGAAAGAATGGTGTTTTGAATTGAGATTACATGCAATCAAGATTGATATTGACCATTATATATACATAGAAAAAGTGCTTTGCAGGATATCTTCTTAGAGGACATCTCCAAAAATATCTTATTTTTTAGAAACCAACTCTTGAATTCAAAGTTCTATTAATATAGATCATGCATGTCGATTTTTAAATTTATCAAATATATCTAACCAATTCATTGATTACACAAAATTTAACACCATTAAATATATATTAATAAATAAAGTTTCTTTAATCAAAAGATTATAAATGTTAAACTAATTTGAAAATTGACATGTATGATCTACATGAATAAAATATTCAATCTACCAATTAGTTTTTGAAAATATTAATTATAAAGGTCCTCCCATATATATATTTGGAAAAAGTGTTTTGCAAAATATCCTCCATTGTTGATTGCACGAAATTGACACCTCCAAAAATATTTAGGAGGATAACCTGTAAAACACTTTTCCTTAAATATATATATATATATATATATATGTGTATTAGGCATCAGTGTATATTGCAAAAAATTAAATGACACTGTTTTGCCCTAAAAATTCTCACTTCACTCATTTTACCTTAAAACAGAGCAATCACATAGATAAAGAAATCTATCTACAATCTACATAAAACATCACTAACTTATCTAATTAAAATACAAAATCAACAACACTCCTCTCAATTCCTCCCACAGAGCAAATATACTTGTCATATTTTCATTATATGGGGAATTGAAGAAGTTTATAATGAAATGTGCTGCAAATATAAGAACTCTGCAATTTTATCATTGAAACAGAGTATTGCACTTTGTACTTACCTCGTTCAATGGAATAGACAACATAGACAAATCGCAAGTGAACAAGGACATAATAGATGTAAAAGAGTGGGGTTGAGGATTGTTGTGGATTATTAGGCGTTCGAATGGGTAAAGGAAGGAAAAAAGAGTGAAATGGGAATGTTGGGCCGACACAACGTCGTTTAATCAAAATGGTTGTTGACTATTTTTTTTTTTTTTTTTAAATTTAACTAATCGTCTACTAATTATTGATTTTTTTATTTTAATCTAAAATATAATTTTTTAAATTTATCTATTAATTTTTAAATTTATTTTAATCTTACCTACCCCACCATGATTCTTTACCTAAATTAACAAAATTTTATATTTTTAATTGTGTGATCATATAAAACACTACATAACTTGAAAATATACAAGAAAATTCTTCCTATTTTTTTAAATAAAAAATAAATTTTTTAATACAACCTTTAAAAGAAATTGTAAAATGACAACCTGCCATATATTATCCATGTAGACAAAGCTAGTCAACAGTCTGTAAATGGAAAAAAAAAATTAATCTTTCTTGCCTATTATAGAAGCTTTTCCTTCAAGCAGCTTGAACAGTGCTTCCACAAATTCCTTATAAAAATCGACGATACCTACATACACCCAACCAAAGATCCTAATTCTGGGAATCAAACTAATAAGCTGAATTGATAGAA